TGATATTCTGTTGTGCTCGTGATTAAGTTTCCGAAGACAAATAGAACGTAGTATGCGGCAACCCATTTTTTTTTAGGACAAAACTAAGTCACCAAGGCGGTATGGTTTATGTGTAATTATGGAAGGCCTCTACAGGAAGAGGATCTTAGAAATGAAGTTAAAAATCCTTCGTTGTCGTATGTAACATACTTTCACATTTCCTGACGGTGTTTTTTTTTTACCGAATCTAAAAATGTATGCCATGCACAAATGTTACAAGAGGTGACTTGACGCTAGAAAACATGGTTATTCGACCATGACCATCAGTACATTATCATATTGTTACTAAACAACAAAATTAAAAATAATTTATTCCCAAAATGACAGTTATTTAAACATAAAAGTATGGAACATATGACAAATGAAAATTCAGAAAGGCGTTTACAAATTTAATATTTAATATGGTAGCGAATTTCATTCATTTCACATGGCAAAAATGGAAAGTGAAAGGTTGAATGCATCACACAACTATCAATGTGCGCATATTTTCCGTACTTTCTATTCAGGCCCGTTTCTAGAAAGAACGCGATTCCGTTCATTTCGATATCAGCCTCTTTGCACTCTCTGAAAAATGTCCTTGATAGTAACAATATCGATCTAGTTTGTCCTTGATAGTAACAATGACGATCTAGTTTGTCCTTGATAGTAACAATAACGATTGAAACACGTTAACATAATAACTAAATTTTAATCAAAGTTGTATTATTTGGTGAGAATTCCTTGCTCTTTTTCGACTATTTTAATACCAAATGTCTTACTTGACCTGCTTGTTCATAATTTGCGTCTTGTTAACATGTACCGCGAGCTCATATCTTTTTCCATATCAGCTATATGAGACCGCAAACACTACTGTTTTGTGTAAAGAATAATAACACGAAATAACCTTTTGCACGTTTCAGATATACGACCATGGTTGCACAAACCCACAAACAAACTATCATTAGTTCCAACTATCTTGCAGTATTAAAATATAGTTCCAGCTGTTTGAGAATTTGAAGAGTCAATATCATGTAAATATGGCTTCATAAATTCTGGAATTATTAGCGGAACAGTCACCGGGGGTTGTGTTACTACTTGTGTAAGTAAATTTGTTTTTGATTTATTCCTATTGCGACGCTTGGCATCCTTTTCTTTTCTCCTCTGATATAGTCTTCTAAAAGACTTTGGGATTCTTGGATCATTATCGATTATATCTGTTGAAGGAAACTTGGAACGTGTTAAATTTGAAAAAGAATCGCTCATTTCGGAAATTGTTCCATTATCAGATATGTATGCTTCATTAACGTAATCTGGAATGGGCGGCGTATTTCCTTCCTTAACAAACTCTGGAATTGGAGGAGGTGTTCCACCTGCTTTGATATCTTCGGGTATAGTTGGAAATTTTCCTCCTTCTGTAAGTCCTTTTTTCACAAAATCCGGAATGGTAGGGTTTTTTCCGTCTTCAATATCTTTCTTCACAAAATCTGGAATGACAGGGATGTTTCCTCGTTTTGCAAAGTCTGGAATGGTAGGGAATTTTCCGTCTTTCATACCTTCCTTCACAAAATCTGGAATTGTGGGGAATTTTCCGTCTTTCATACCTTTCTCCAAAAAACCTGGAATAGCAGGGGCGTTTCCTTGTTTTGCAAAGTCTGGAATGGCAGGGGTATTTCCGTCTTTCATACTTTTCTTCACAAAATCTGGAATGACAGGGTTGTTTCCGTCCTTCATACCTTTCTTCACAAAATCTGGAATA